ACACACACACACATATATGTAAGAATTAGGAAATATTTAGCACAACTATATGTTTCGTCAGGGGTAACAAAAGTATTTTTATATTAATAAATTTTTAGGACCATTTTCACATTATTTGTACCTCGTATGTTACATTCGTAAATTTCTCTTGAATTATTATATAATAAATTAACTTACAAAATTAAAAATTTTTAACGAAACAAAAATCTGAAGTAAAAATTTGCTTTCGAGTTTGTAGAAAAAGAAACATAAAATAGAAAGTAAAATCTGGCCCAGTTACCACTATGTATATAAAAATATTGTCCAATAGTCAGAGAACCATTATTTGAATGTATGTTGCCGATAAATATCTTAACAATATTTATATTGCATTTCTGGATTGAGACAAAATTTCATCTCACATTAGTAATACGTAATTAATTAATTCAGAAAATAATTTCGTTTGAAATGAAATTCATTTCATTTACACTCTTCTCTACGATGAAATAAAACACAATAAACTACGATTATCGAACGAAGGAATTGAAACGTACGGCAGTAACGTTTAATCGAATTAAAGAATCGTTTATACAAGATAATCTGGAAGCGATGGAGAGACAACCGCTGAATTACTTACTGGCAACGCGAGCAAGTTTTAATATTCACGGCAAAGGGTTTAGATTACCGAACGATCCGATTGCCTCCGAATCGATCAATTGAAAAACCAACTGCTAGTGATAGACAGTTTAGAACAGAAAACAACATTAATTGCTTCCCAGTAAAGTGACCACTCGAAAATTGAACAGGAGGCTGATCGATAAGCAATTTTTACCGAATCCAGATACATTACTTCGTTCTACTATATATCTGTGTATGTACGGTTACACAGACACATCGTCGATTTCGACCATTATTATGCGAACGACACAGGTGTTGCTTAGCATTCGGTTAAGAATCTCGCTAGAATCTAAGCTGATAATCGCACGCTTATTGCTAGTAAAGGAGATCGATAATCTACTTTGATGTGGCGGATGTGGTTGTCACTTGGCTGTCGCTTTAAATAATATTGAATATGTTTAACCGAATCGCACCTGACGGAATTCGATTCCGATAACGATTTTTACTCTATAGCGAACCGATTTGTCGCGCGTGATCGCGAAAATTGACGAGTTTGTGAAAAATATGTTTCGGCGAAGAAAATAAAAATTAAGTTGAAACAATTACTACGTCATATTTATTAATCATGGTATTAGAATCGAAGGAAGCACGTTAAGACAGACTTGATTATACTATGACAATTTCTTTTTTCTTCGTATCTTGATTTCATTGTCTGTAAAGTTTATAAAATCTATATATTCTTTATTTTTCACATTTAGAATCGAGCCTTAGAATTTATTTCGTGAAACACAATCGAAGTTGGATTTTAATAAAGTTTGTAATTTAATAATAATAAATTTGATACAAAAAGGATAGAATAGAGAAATGATCAGTGGTATAAACTGAAATTCATTCAACAAGTTAAAATTTGCAATTGAAGTATTAATGTGGGTTCAAAAAACATTCCAAAGCGGAACACCTTCACCTGAAATAGTCTTTCATTGAACGTTTCAAACCGGATATCTATACCAGTGTGCCGTAGACAGGAATACACTTG